ATTTTGAATCGAAGAGGCACTCAAGGTTTTTTTGTTTGCTGGACGAGTATTGTAAAAAGCGCATTTTGGTTGAAAAATTTTAAAAAACAAGGTAGAACAACATATGTTCTTGTAGGATTTAAGTGATAACTGTTGTAATTATTATCAGTTCTTCTCCCGTGATTTGATTCTTTAACTGCTTTTTGATGTGTTCTCAGGAAACGTAGGTCGGCAAAAATAGTTGAATGAATGAATGAAAATTTTGTATAACACAAGGCACAATTGAGGAAGTAGAAGCAGATAGAAGCATGAAAGTGTGAGGGAAACATAATTCGAATATTCTATTCGAACACAAATATCTTTTCTATGTACAATATTCACACCTTCATTACAGCAATTCCTTCATTCTGGGCGCTGAAAAAACATTTAATGAATAACTGAAAAAAATTTTCGAGGTTGTATATCTAAAATTCCAGATTTTTTAAAATCTTTAGTCTCGCGTTAATTTGGTTTTGGTAGATTTTCTTCCAGTTCTGATTTTCTTTAAGCTGGATTTAAATCTGCAAAATAGCCAATTTGAGTTGAATTTTGAGAACAAGGAGAAACTGGAAAGGGAGCTCGGGTTATAGGCTTAAGTCGCTCATAAAGGCGATGCAATGCTGAAACGCGTCACATCGCCATAGTTAAATACGTATTTGGTAGATTAATAATAGTTTAGTTTTAAGAACGATTATGATCTGATCGAACTGAAGCGGAAACAAGGAGATGTTTTCTAGTGTAGGGAGGCCGCAAAAGTACGCAAAACCTTATGAATATAATATGAAATATGAATAAATAATATGAAAGCACAATAAATTTTTATTAAAATAGTGCATTAAAAAGGAAAACTCCTCTGGTATGATATGTTATGAATGGTCTTTGCACATTCAGTGAGAACAACGACTAATAGAACTTTAGCCGATAAGAACATGGTCCTCCAACTCTTCAAGATTTGGCGCTTGTATTTGGGGTTTTATGAGTCAAGAGGAAGCTAATTAATACACGGGAACAATTACGCAGTGAAATCTCACCAGTGAAATCTTATCACCAGGTCACGCTAAACACACTGATAGTTGAAAAGCAAACTCAAACTATCTAGAGATTAAGAAAGCTATTCTACAAATTACAATTATTTGTACTACAAGTTACATACGTTATAAGTACATATTTCCTCAGAGTCATGATCAAAAGTAATGTGATTCAGTCTTTCAATCTATTTACAGGCATAATCGACCAACATGAATAATGTTGAACTTACTTTCTCCATAAGCACTCATATGGTTCACAATAGCAGCTGAGATCGTAAGAACACGATTTGCACTTTTGTCTTCGAATCGTGGTACAGAAATCTTCGTAACGATCGAACTCCCGCGAGCACCAGTTATCATCTGGGTAGTTTACGAGAGAACAATGTCTCTAAATAATCAGATGTATGTCTCTTCTAGAATGCAGAGATGAATCACATTACCTTGAAAGCAAGACAGAACGGTACAAGATGCATTGGTGGAGTGTCTTCAGCGCAAGCCAAAGCGTAAGCGTCAACCTGTCCGTAGCAAAGTCGATCACGCATTAGTTCATGTCTGGAAAAAAACAATATGTCAAGTACACAAAGTTCACTATGAAGTTCTTTATAATGCAAAACAATGTTTCATTGCTTTAATCTGCTGTTGGCTGATCTCAATGAGTGAAAAATCTGTCTATTTACTGTCTAAAGCGTGAGACTTTGGATATCTGCCTAGAACGATAAGCAAACAACCTTTTGCAACTGACAATTACAAGGACTGTTGTTTAAAAGTGTTTTGCCGAAACCCGGTTTTAGGTGGAATCTTTATTGCCTGACGTTTCGACGTTT